TAATTCAAAAAGATGCATGCACCCCAGTGTTCATAGCAGCAATATTTACAATAGCCAAGACATGGAAACAACCTAAATGTCCACTGACAGATGACCGGATAAAGAAGTTGTAGTATATTTATACAATGGAATACTACTCAGCCATAAAAAGAATAAAGTAATGCCATTTGCAGCAACATGGATGGAGATCATAATTCTAAGTGAAATAAGCTAGAAAGAGGAAGAAAAATACCATATGATGTCACTCATATGTGGAATATAAAAAAAAGCAGAAATGAACTTCTTTACAAAATAGAAACAGACTCACAGACATAGAAAATAAACTTATGGTTACCAAGGAGGAAAGAAGATGGGAAGAAATAAATTGGGAGTTCGAGATTTGCAGAGGCACACTACTATATATAAAATAGACAAACAAACTTCTATTGTATAGCATAGGGAACTATACTGAATATCTCGTAGTAACCTATAATGAAAAAGAATATGAAAATGAATATGTGTATGTATATGATGATGGAAACATTATGCTGTACACTGGGAATTGACACAACATTATAAATTGACTATACTTCAATTAAAGAAAAAAGAAAGAAAAGTAATTTCCTGAGGGGTTAGGAATGAGACCCCACCAAGTATAGAAAAGAAATGACTATATACAGCACATTCAGCCTGATTCCTAGACATCTGGGCTAAACCCTAGAGGGGGTTTATGCATTTTATACCCTTTAATGACCAAATATACTTAATAATAAATCTATGTTCATGTAAAACTGAAAAATTGTGCTGTACACTGGAACTTGACACAACACTGTAAAATGACTATAACTCAACAAAAAAATGTTTAAAAAATCTATTTTAACAAAGTCCACAGAACTGCTCTATCCTATTTTAAATTTGTGAAACAGGTTAAAGATACTTTTAATTGCATGCTTTATGTCACATTAAAGATTTTAAAGCATTTCTCACAATTCAAAGGTTTATAATGAAGGAGTAGCTTGAGAAAGTGCTGAAAAAAATTCTCTGTTTGTTTTTGTTGTTTTGTAACAGCAAAAACAGAATGCCCTTGTCTTAATTCCTAATCTTGGAAGAGTTAATTATTCCCAGATATTTATATCTTAATATAAATTCTGGATGGATGCTGTAGCAGAGAAAAGAGTTACCTATCAAAGCTCCAGGTTCCCTGTTACTTAAGTGCAGACCTCTTTCTGGAGGTGAATCCCCAGAAAGGGACTACATTTCCCAGACCCCACTGCAGTTCGGGGTAGCCATGTGACTAAAACTGGGGCAATGAAATGTGAGAATTTCTGCACACAGGCTTGACCCATAAAAATCTCCTCTAAGTTTTGATCTTTTAATCTTTTACCTCTTTCACCAGCCACAAGTCAATTCCCAAAGAAACTTTAGAAATATTGTGTTGAAAATGGCAATATCTACCACTCTGGGTCACTAAAAATCTGCATGAAGCAAAGCTCTTTCCCACTCCAGTTCTGAGCAACACTGCATTGGAATGTAATGTGAACAAAAACTAAAATTGTATTGTGTTAGAACTCTGAAATTTGGGAGTTTGTTTTGGCAGCTAACATTATGCTAACTAATCCAGAAGCAATAGTTGGAAAATTGTTCAAGAATATGTTTTCTTTAATGTGCAATGTTGTTAAAGCTCTTTTCCTCTTTAAATATTTTCACTACTGTTTTTTTCTAATAATTATTTATTTATAAAATACAATTTAAGAGCACATTAATGCATAATTTCATGTAGTATATGCATTTATTGAGAAAACTATACACAGGGTCCCATGCTCAACATTGGAAGATATAAACAAAATAACCTATGGTCCTTGTCTGCTAAGAATTTATTCTGCTTATGGAGAAAATAAAACTATACAATTAATCATAATTTAATATGGTATATGATAATAGGCACTAAAGTTATATCTCTTGGCAATAAAACCAATAGATACATTTTGGAAGACACGGAGCAGCTCACATATAAATAAGTAGTCAGGAAAATCTGATGCAAGAAGTGAAATAACTGAGTCAAATGGGAAACTGAAAGAGAGAAAATGGAAAGATTTATTTTTAGGAAATTAAATCAGGTAGTGATGTTTAACATCCATTGGGGAAAGTGGAGGAAGGACTGAGAGGTGACAGCAAGTGGAGAGGGGAAGAATAAGAGGACTGAATTTATTAATTCATTGGGAAAAATGGGAGTTATTTATATTACAAGGAGATTAAGTTATCTACTCTATCAGCACAGATCAACCAAAGACAGAGAGAGAGAAATACTGTCAGGACAAGAAATTAAATTTATATTAAGAGAAAGGAGAGTTACTGTAGGCTTTTGAGTAGGCTAGGATATTATCAAAATGATTTTAGAAAAGTGAATCTATTGACTGTGTGCAAAGTGGAGGTAATTGAGAATTGAGAAGAAGGCTCAGAAGTTATGACAAATGTCTGGATAAAATGTACTCAGAACCAGAATGAGAGTTGTTGCAGGGGAAATGGAGAATAAGAAGCAGATTTTTAAAATACAAGATATTTTGAAAAAAGAACAGAACTTCAGGAATGGACTTGATACAAAATTGGTAATCAACCACATTTATTTTTCAATTACTCTAAATTAAACAAAGAAATCTTCCAAATCATCAGTATAATTACAAATCTATAATCAGATTTTAATATCATTTACTATCTTGCTTGCAAATGTTTCTATGATTCCAGGATAATAATTAATGGTTAGTAATTTCATGGGCCAAAATATTAAGTATATTCATGTAGAAATGTTTCTATAATAATTTGGTTTTCAGAGTGTTTTATTTGGTGATAATGTTATTATTCATTTATTTACAAAGTATAAATGCTATCAATTAAACACAATTACTTAAGCACTGACTGCCCCCAAAATTCCACTCTGTTAGAACAGATGCTCTAATTTGGATACAAATGTGTGTGCAATGAAAGAAACACATTGTTGGCTAAGCAAGTTAAACAGATGGAAGGAATATTTCTTATGCTCTCCTTAGTGTTAACCATAGATATACAGTCTAGCCCTCTCCCTTAATATTTTAGGGAAAATAATTCTAAAAATATTGTGTATTAGTATCAACAGAAATACACACATGTTTAGATATTTTTCTCTAAAATTTTAAGAGAGAAGGTTGTAATGTATGACCTGGTTTCTACTAAGGAAATCATAAGAAATGTTCCTGCATTTATTTAATTCGCTTAGCCAACAATGTATTTCACTTATTGGATGGATATTTGTATCAAAATTAGAGCATCTGTCCCCATAGAATCCAAACTGAATGCTAAAAATTTCATGAGATATATAAAAAGCCAAATGTGGAGGCATTAAAAAAAAGTGTTAAATAAAAATTAAAGGCCCTGTGGCAAAGTCTGTGTAGAATTTCCATTCATTTTACACTGTTGATTATCATGCAATGAAAATCATATTTAGAATACCTATTACACACTTGAAGTCCTACAAGTAGAACAAGGCAGGTAATACTAAAAAAAGGAAAGGACTGACTTTAACTCACCCAGTGTTTTGATCCATGTCTAGAAGACAGGCATTCCTTTCCTTCTGTCTCAGAAAGGGAATGCTGGTGTTCTCTTCTTTCAGCATGCAAGATGAGAGCCCTGTTTGGTCATTCCTCTCCCTAAACATCCATCCATTCAGTCAACTTTTGTATGCATTTTTTAAAAATCCATTATATAGAGACTATGTCTTACTCATTTTTGGGTTTTTTAAATTTTTAAAGTTTCTTTGTAGCCCCAAATATAATCCACTTCCTTAAATATTCCTTGAGGACTGCCAAGGAAGCAATAATTTGTTAAATATGAAAAATGACTGGAAGACATTTTCATAGTTGTAAACTTCAGAAACAAACCTCCCTTCAACAGTAGCACTAGCAACATCTCTGTATTCTTGCACTACAAGAATTGGCACATGGTCTAAACCTTTAAAATAACCCATGGCTATCCACAAACATGACTATGCTTTCTTTTCTGTGTTTGAACAGATTTCAAATCTTTTCTTTCTAGTTCAAATTATTATGCAGTAAAAGAAAGGATGATACAAATAATACCAAAATGACATGAGCTGAACCAATAGGAAACAGAAATTCTTAAAATTAAAAACAAGAGTCTTTTTCTTGTGGGGAGCCTTTGTGTGTATTGTGCTCAGAGCCACTGTGTTACACATCACCAGGTGACATGATTTATTGCTTTCAGCTTGTACTCTTTCGTGATTCTGTTTTCCTTACATACTGCAAAATTTTCCCACATTTCTAAATTCACTCTGTGTGCTTTATGCAACAATTTGCATACAGTCGATTTTATGGAAACCAAATGCTATATATTAGGATTATCTATATGTGTATAATGAGGTGAAGAAAAGGTATATTACTTTAGTGTACTATCCTAAGAGTAGCACACTTTTGCTATGCATATAGAAGAAAGGGATAAAGACAAGGGTGGAACTAGAGATAAGTAATCATTGCAATGAATTCCTTTTTCTAGCCATTGATAGTGCTAATAATCAATAAAATGTTGTAGATACTCAGTGTAGTTAGAGATTGTAATGTGTTGTTAGGTTTCTTTAATTGTTTTAGACTATATCCACATACATACCTGCTGTTTTTTACACTGATGGAGGACATGGCCATTTTATAAGACTAATTACTCTGCCTATGTTTCACCTACCTCTTCTCAGCTGTTGAAGGCTTCCATTTTAGGGATTATCCACTTTGCTGTTTGTCTCTGAGGCAGATATCATAGGTTGATAAATCCCATCACCTATCTAGTTCTCTCCTCTTTTATCTGTCTCTTTTCTAAAGGCTACACAAACTTTAAAAATGCTTGATTTCTCAGCCTCCCTTTCAATATTGATTGATCATGTGACACAGTTTTGGCCAATGAAATATAAAATGATTTCTGTAATGCAACCTTTCTTCCTCCTCCTTTTTTCCTGCCTGC